TTATCAACAACGTCATTTATTTCCTCTCCTTTATTTGCATATCAAGTGAGATGCATTGTAACTTGAGTTTTCCTGCCTTGCCCACAGTCAGGACAAATCTTTGTCACCCGCCAGTCCCACAGCCGCTCAGACCCAACCAAGTACACAGTCTCTGTACACAGAGACTAATATTGCATACAAACTGTATGGCCGTGGCAGGCTTCTTGCCAACTGTTCTTATAGCTTAAATTAATCCATTTCCATAAATCTATACCTTGCCACGTGGCTGGTGGCTTACCAGAGTCTTTACATGCTGCTGGTCATGGCGGCAGCTGGCAGTGTCTCTCTGCCTCAGCCTTCTGCTTTCCAGAATTCTCCTCTCTCCTTGTCCCACCTACTTCCTGCCTGGCCACTGGCCAATCAGTGTTTTATTTATTGACCAATCAGAGCAATTTGACATACAGACCATCCCCCAGCATGAAACAATAAATGATTGGAAAAGTCCTTACTGTCACATGGGAAGCCTGCTCCACCCCACCTTGTGAGGACCCAGTTCTGGGGCTTGGTTGAGGATCTGGTATGAATAATTCTGTAGCTTTATCCTTGTGCCACTCAGACTAGCTGGGGCTTGGCAAACACCAAATTTTAGTAGAATTATCTAAAATAATCAGTCTTCAGTTGTTAGGACAACAAATAAAATATGGTAGAGAATTAGCAAGTGAGAGGGTGGCAGTGTAAGAGCTGAGGGGGACTGAGGTAAGGACAGTGATGTCCGGTGAATTCACCAGGATAAGAGAGATCGGATATCCTGACAGAGGTCATGTGACTAAAAGGAGAGGAAGCTGTGGCTCAAGATATGTTGGCGAGCTGTTTAAAACTTGAGAGCTTTATTGTTCGTTGTTAAAGAGTCATCTAAGTATCAGAGCTGACTGTACTCAGACACTGTGCTCAGAAATGTATATAGGCCTTGTCCGGCCCCACCAGCAGTACTGCTTGGAGAGTGTTGGTACTCCCTCTCTAGCTAAAGTTTCTGTGGCCCAGCCATTGTCTTCAGCCTAATTACATGCAAATTTATGTCTACTATCTACAAAACCATCTGTTTTCACTAATTATACTAAGGTTTATACATAGTCTAGTCCCAAAACGTTAACAGACCAACTATAAACAGCTTACTTGTAGCTTCCCCATATCTATTCAGGCTTAGTTACGGAAACTCTCATGTGTATAATGTCTGCAAAGCTCCAGTCCCTTAACGCAAATCGTGTTGGTAGTATAACTGAAGAGGTTCAAGTGAGAACGGCCCCACAGGCTTATATTGGAAGGTTTTGTCACCAGTTGGTGGAACTGCTTGGGAAGGATTAAGAGGTGTGACCTTTTTGGAGCAGATGTGACCTTGTTGGAGGAAGTGTGTCACTAGGGGTAGGCTTGGAGGTTTCAAAAGTCTACACCATTCCCAGTTATCTTTCTGTCTGCCTCTATCTATCTATCTATCTATCTATCTATCTATCTATCTATCTATCTATC